ATAAGTACGTTAGAGGATATTTTAAGTTTTTGATTGTTTGTGTTCAGGGGCTACTGGTCTTGGTGGGTTCTAAGTTATTTTGCAGATTAGCAAAGTGAGGTTCTAGCCTACAGCTCAAGTAATGGAACCGGGCTGAGCCCATTTCAGTTGTTTTTTCCGCACATGAACCTTCTGTGAGCTAAGGTTTATTGTGCTAGTTTTTAATGTCTTCTGATTTTTCTGTTTTCACAGAAATCTACAGCTGAAAAAGATGAACTGTAAATTATACTGTCACCATTTGGATCCCGTGTGGAGAAGGAATGTGAAATTTAAGTCATTTCTTTTGGGAGAGACTTGTTTTGGATGCTCCCTGCCAGCCCCCTTCTCCCCTGCACTGTAAAACGTTGGGATTGCGGGTCACAGGAAGACGTGGGTTTTTTAGTTGAATTTTTTTTAACATTCCTCATGAATGTAAATTTGTACTATTTAACTGACTATTCTTGGTGTAAAATCTTGTCATGTGTATAAAAATAAAAAAGATCCCAAATACTCAGTGTCTTGCCTATCTTCATTATTCATTTTAGAACTACCTGATAATTGATTTTTTTCTTCCAGTTTTGTTGTAATAATTGACCTTCAGCACTGTTCAAGGTGTGAAGCATAATGACTTGACTTGCATACATGAAATGATTACCACAATAAGTAGTGAACATCTGCCATCTCATATAGACATAAAATAAAACATATACATATATGTTTTTTTAAATCATGTGTCTTGGATATTCCTCCTTACAAAAGAAATTCATACTTAAAAATGGTTTGTTTTTGTTTGTTTTTTTAGTTATTTTTAAAAATCACCCATGAAAGGAAGAGATACTCTTCCTTACATGAGAATTTCAAATAGTACCTGTAGATGCTTCCCCTTCTAGGAGGTGGAACTTAATTCTCCTTTCCTTTTTGAATGTAGGCTGGATTTGATGACTCTAGAAGAGTATAGAAAGGGGAAAACAGTGGCTATAGCAGAGAAATCTGGCAGATGCTACCTTAATAACCAAGTGATCAAGGTTAGTATTACCAGTGATGTTACGTACCCCCTGATGTGATGAGGAGGTTACTTCACCCTGGTGGTCTTTTTAAAAAACTCATAACCTCAGCCTAGAGTATGTGAAGAGTACTCTTCAAGTTTTTCAAGGTCAAAACCAAGGAGAGTCCCAGACTGGAGGATACTGGAGACACAGCAACTAATTGCAATGTTGGTAACCTGGGTTAAAGCTCGTGAAATCCAGTCTGAGGTATAGCTCACTGGGTCCTCAGCTCTGGCATATGTAATGTAGTCAAGCAAGATGACAGCGTTTATGGGATGGGATACAGGAATTCTGCTGACTTTGCAGTTTCCCTGTAAGTCTAAATTTATTGCAAAATCAAAAGGCTATCTATCTTAGAAGTCAGCTATAATCCTACCACAGATAAAACTATAGATACTGAGTGAGAATCCTCATTGAGCTGTTGTTTACTTTGTTTTGAAATGTGTTATTTATGGGAGAAACAGTTTCTCTAATTTCACTAATAGCCATCTGAAATGGGGTTTCTGGGTTTTTTTTAAATGGCTAGAGAGAGAAAATCTTAGATGCATATTCAAAGGTCATGGTATGTAAGAAAGTTCTATGGAACCTAATTTTAAGTACTATAGATTTGTCAGGCACTTCAAAATTTTCTTGATAATTTAGGACCCTTTCTGGGCATCTCACAATTTTTGTTCACTATGTACTTCCTATCCCTCCCCACCAAACTCTAGGATTAGGTTGTAATAATCCCTTTGAAACTTCTACATATCTACCCTACTTGATTGTGTGTCTTTTTAACAATCTGTGCTGCTGCTTTTCCCTTTTAAGAGAATGGGAGCTCATTCATAGAGAAACATGCTATTAAGGTACAGTTTCCTTTCATGATCCAGTGTTATTAGTTATTAACTAGCTATTGTAGCATTTGTTTCCAATTTTTTGGCCACTGTAAATGACTATTTTAATGAAAATTGTTACTATATAAAAGTTAAAGCTATTGGGTTGCATTAAACTTGTGACATCCATCTAAAACTTCTGCTGCTCAGAATCTTCCAGTTACAAATTCTAAATTTCCACTGTTACCATGAGGGAGCATAAAAAGCATCATACTCCCTCAGGTTGTGGTCAAAACAAGCAGCTATTCCACACACACCTTATACTGTCACTGTTTAACCGGTCTGATTTAATTAGCAAACAGGTTGCAACTGGTCTATCTTGGACTTTTTCCCCCCACAGCTTCATTAAGGAATAATCTTGGACTACTTTTAATATTTGGTTTTTGTTACAGATTTGGTTCCCCAGGAAGCACTGAGATGGAGTTCCATATAGAGGCTGCTTATTAAGGAGTGCCCATGAATCAGCACCTGTGGAAGGAAGAGAAATGGGACTGAGCAGAAGGAGAAGCTGAGCTGTAATGCAGGTACAAATAGCCTGTCAACCTTGAGGGAAGCTGAGCTAAAATGAGTCCCCTCAGAGTGGTCCGGTATGTCTGCATTGTGCTGAGTGTGCTGGACGCATAGCTCTAAGCAAGGCTGTGCTAGCTGAGGCCGTCCCCACAGGAGCTGGCAACTGATGGAAGCTCACTGATGAGCACTCAGCCCTAGGGTGACATGCCTTTCCTTGGGAATCCAGATGCTACATTTCCACACCCACCACAATGTTTATTTTTCACAGTGAGGCTCAACTTTAAAAAAAGAAAAAAATACACATCTTGGTTAAAATTACTTAGAATTAGCATTTACTGAAATGATGGCATTTTTACTTTTGGTGCATTTTTTTTTAAAAGCTATAAAGTTAATTTTTCACCTTCATGAAGGTGGGTTCAAATCAATAGCCAGACCACTCTACTTGTAAAAGGAAGGTATAGGGATGCTTTTATAGTATGGTCCACTGCATTCATCCATGGCATGAGGGTCCTCTCCTTGTGCACAAGCTAACCTCAAGGGGCAGGTCCTTTCTTCAAGCAAAGGGTGAACAGTGTCCCCAGGCCTTCATTCTGGAAAGTAATAAAGGGTTCCTCACTGGTATCTACAAAATGTGTATCAAAGCTCACCTATTTGGTGTTCATGCACTAAAGTTAATGGAGAATTAGAATTTGTAAATGTCCATTTAACAAGAAGAAAAACTCCACCTTCCAAATTCAATTGATAAAATTAGTTTGGAGTTAAAAAACAATGTTATTGTTGATTTATAGTAAATCAAGTACCCTTCCTGAAGCCTTTGGGAATTCCAACTACTCGAGGAAGTTAGGCAACTGGATGAGAATTACTGAATTAATGCTTAAGAAAACATTTTTTAATTCTTTTAATTAAAAAGTCAAAATTTTTCTAGTTTGATATAAAGTCCTTGCAATGACAGCTGTGGCAAGCTTCACCATTTGTAAAGTATACAATTTTTTTCATGAAAAAAGTATACAGTTAATGGCAACTATGGAATTTGATCCAGAGAAGGTAAGTCTCATGCATAAGGTCACAGCAAATAAAGTTTCAGCAAACAGCAATCAGTCTGAACTAAAAATTCCATCTTCTACCTCAGAATCCCAGGCCTTTTCCCCCTAGGGTGGGCTACTGCTCAGCTGTCACTAACAAAACTGAAGATCCACTTTGTGCTGGGAGCATATGATAAGGTACCAAATGACATGCAGTGGAAAAGAAAAATCTTGATTATGAGGTTGGAAATAAACCATTTTGTTTAGTTGCTTTATACTGTTAAACTGAAAGGTGCATTGACTGTGGAGAATAAAACAAAAGCATTTTGTTTGCATTTAGGAATTTAGTATTTAAGATTTTAACACTGACCCCAAAGATCAATGTCATGTAGCAATTTGCTAACTGGCTAAGAAGTAATAGGCTTAGACATGATCTTTAAGAATGCAGAATTCCGAAAAACTTCTTTTGGAAAAATAGCCCTGAATACAAAGCTGAGTGCTTTATAAATTACTCTTGTCCTGCTTTTATAAACTCAGCAAAGGGCTAAAACTTTTGTATTAGTTTCCCAGGGCTGCTTTATGGTTATCCAAGTACCACTGTAACTAGATGGCTTAAAACAATAGAAATTTATTCTCACAGTTCTGGAGGCCAAAAGTCTGAAGTCCAGGTGTTGGCAGGGCCATGCTCTGAGACTCTGGGGAGAACCCTTCCTTGCCTCTTCCTAGCTTCTGGTGGTGACCCCTGGCTTGTGGCTGCTCACTCCAATCTTTGCCTCTGTTGTCATCTGGCATTCTCCCTGTGCGTCTGTCTTTCCATGGCATTTTCCTCTTCTTATAAAAAGACACCATTCACACTGGATTAGGGTTCAGCCTAGTGACCTTATCTTTACTTAGCTACATTTGAAAAAACCCTATTTCCAAATACACATTCACAGGTACCAGGAGTTAGGACTTTAAGATCTTCTGGAGGGATACAGTTCAACTCATAATAATACTCATTTATCAGTTATTTTAAAATATATTTTATAAGAAATTAAATGCCAAAATGGTTTCTCAAATTAGGGGTAAAGAATTTGTCACAGTCCAAGTCACAATTGTTAATTTTGTTACATACACAATTCTAAAAGAAATTCAGATTTAAATATTTCAACTGAATTCAGTTTAGTATAAATAATAGTACTTTCCAATATTTAGAGAAATATTAACTTCACACCATAAGCATTCATGGTCAATGTCACTTTTACTATAGTTAATTTATAATTCCCCTTCGCTGTTATAGTCAAGCTTATTCAGAGAAATAAACCAGAATCATAAGGGCAGGAGACACTGGAAATAGTCTAATCTATCTCACATGATCTTTAAGACTAAGTATCAAACCACATTCAGGAAGCTGATATATAAGCTTTGGCAGTTTTTAAGAAACACTGGTCAAACCATAATTAAATCTCGATATGGATTAGTGAACATCTACTGAGCACCTCCTCTTGCAGTTAGCATTTTACTAGTTGCTTAAAAACAAGGAATTTGACTCATTAAATTTTTTAAATATGTATTTAATTCTCATAATATTATTCACAAAGTTCTTGGCAGAGTTGGATTGTGAGGTTCATGCTGTCTCTTTTTCAGTCCCAAAAGCTCTGTTTTGAGTTCTCCAGGCTTTGGTGGAATTTCAGGTATTGTCTATTAAAACAAAAACAAAAACACACAAAAAAAATAGATACCAGTGCTTTCTTTGACTATAATTAAATATGACTTGAAAAACATCGAAGTAAAAAGTTAAAAAGAACAAAAAGTCCTCTGACACTCAATGATACATCTTTACTATGAGAACCCACAGTTGATCTAAGTCCCTTTCTAGCCCTATATTTATATGCCTCTATTATCCAGGCTATACCTTAAGTACTAGAGGAGTCAAAGAGGGAAACTTTGCATCAATATTAATGGACAACAAACCTACAGCCAGCATAATACTCAACAGTGAAAAGCTGAAAGCCTTCCACTAAAATCTGGAACAAGTCAAAGAAATTAAAGATGACTTAAAGAAATGGAAAGATATCCCATGCTTTTGGATTGGAAGAATTAATATTGTTAAAATGGCCATACTACCCAAAGCAATATACAGATTTAATGCAATCCCTATCAAATTACCCAAGACATTTTTCACAAAAGTAGAACAAATAATCCTAAAATGTATATGGAAAAAGACCCAGAATTACCAAAGCAATATTGAAGAAAAAGAACGAAGCTGGAGGAATAACCTTCCCAGACTTCAGACAATACTACAGAGCTACAGTAATCAAACAGCACGATACTGGCACAAAAACAGACATATGGATCAATGGAACAGAACAGAGAGTCATAAATAAACCCACAGACTTAACAGTCAATTTTCGACAAAAGAGGCAAGAAAATACAATAGAAAAAAGACAGTCTCTTTAGAGTGGCATTGTGAAAACCGGACAGTCGCATGTAAATTAATGAAGTTAGAACACACAGATCACAAATTTGAATAAGGGTTTCCTCACTGGGAAATTCATTCCTGCCCTATCCTGACTCTCCACCATGTGCCTGGCACAGAAAACAGTTACTAGGAATAAACTCATTTATTCAACAACATTAAGTGCCTATTACGTGGAAAGCATAAAGCTGTGGGCAAAAATATACAAAACTGCCTTCAAAAAGGTGATCAGGAAAAGCCTGAGAAGGTGACCTTTTTTTTTTTTAATTTGTAACAGCTTTAGTGAGATATAATTCACATACCATACCATTCACCTATTTAAATATTCAAGGGCTTTTGGTATACTCACAAAGTTGCACATCCATCACTACAATAAATTTTAGAACATTTTCATTACCCCAAAAAGAAACCCTAAACCCATTAGTCACTACCATTTCCATACAATACCCTCCCCCACCACCCTGATCACCAAGCCACTGCCGTGTCTCCACAGACTTGCCTACTCTGGACATTTCATATAAAGGGTATCAAACAATATGTGGTCTTTTATGACTGTTGTCTTTCATTTAGCAGATTTCCAAGGTTCATCCATGTGGTCACATATATCAATATTTCATGCCCTTTTAGGACCAAATAGTATTTCATTATAGGACATACCATATTTTATTTGTATAAATAAATATTTTATTTTATTGATTCTATTTATTATTCATCAGTTGATGGATATTTGGATTGTTTCCACTTTTTGGCTCTAATGAATAATACTTCTATGGACATTCATGTACAGGTTTTTGTGCAGATGTTTGTTTTCATTTATCTCGGGTATAACCTTAGAAGTGGAATTGCTGGGTCATATGGTCACTCTATGTTTGAGGAACTTCCAGATTGTTTTCCATAGAAGCTGTACCATTTTACATCCCTAACACCACTGTACGAGGGTTCTAATTTCTCCACATCCTCACCAATACTTGTCATTCACTGTTTTTTTTTTAAATTATAGCCATCATAGTGGTTATAAAGTGGTACCTTATTGTGGTTTTGATTTGCATTTCCCTGAGGGCTAATGATGCTGAGCATCTTTTCATGTGCTTATTTTCTAAAAAGGTGACTTCTGAACAAAAGACATGGAGGGGGATGAGAAAGCAGCCATAGAACTATCAGGAGTGTTTCAGGCAGATGGAACCACAGAAGTGGAAAACCTAAGGCAGCAATGTGCCCTTGTGTTCAAGGAAAAGCAAGGTGGTCAGCACAGCTGGTCCAAGTACTCAGCGAGGGGTTAGGAAGAGACAAGGACAGAGGGGAAAAGGGGCTGCAGAGATGGGAAGTCACTGGAGGGTTTTGAGCAGAAGAGTGACACGACCTGACTTAAGTAAAAAGATGGTGGTTTTGTTGAGAAGAGGCTGTCATGGTGCAAGTGTGGAAGGCAGGAGATAGGACTGGAAGCTACGGCAATAACTGTGGGAGAGATGACCGACAGTGGCTTGAACTGAGTGGTAGCAATGGAGGTGGTGAAAAGTGGTGAGATTCTGGATATGCTTTCCAGATTAAGCCAGAGAGACTTGCTGTTACGTGTAGTATGAGAGAGGAGTTAAAGATGACTCCCAGATTTTGGCCTAAACAACTAGAAGAATGGAGTCACCACCTACTGGGACAGAGCAGACTTCCAAAGAAGAGCAGGCGGAAAGCCAGGAGCCCAGCTGTGAACGTGTTCACCCACTGCACACCCAAGTGGAATTGTCAAGTGTGCAATTAATAACTCAACTGTACACTCACGGGAGAGGTCCAGGCTGAAGGTATAATTTTAGTATACAAGAAATAACTTATGCTTTGAGAAAAGACGGGTTCACGGAAGTGAATACAGACAGAGAGAAAAAAAGTCAAGTACTGAGCCGAGGCCCACCAATGTTGGGAGATAAGGAGATGAAGAGGAAATAGCAAAGACTAAGAAACAGCGACCAAAGAGACAGAAGAAACGAGAGTGGTGCCCACAAGCCAATAGAAGTGTGAAAGGAGAGAATATTCCACCGTGTCGATAGATGCTGACGGGTTCAACGACAAAGTCTGCTAAAAAAGACCACAGGACTTAACAACATGGAGGTTGCTGGTGACCTTCAGAGGCATTTCAGTAAGTATCACATGCCTCCATCTCCCAACCTTCATGTGGCCTGTTCTCTCCTCCCTCTACACAGCCCCTCATACTGGCACTACCAAAATTCTTCTCATTGCTCAAGGCTCAAGTGACAAGGAAGATGACATGATTCCCTCCCACCATGCCTTTCCCACCACTGTTCACCCATCTCTGATCAGAATTAACCCAAAGGCCCCATATCATAATGATTTAGAGGCATATCTGTAGCCATCGGCTATCAGCTTATACTGTAAGGTCCCTGAGGAAAGGGACCACATCTTAATCTCCACCTTATTTCTTACAATGCTATGAGAATATCCCTCATAGCAAGAAGCAGTCAAAAAATGTGCTGAATGAAAAAAATCAACAGACTTTGCTCTAGACTCTTACAAGCTCATAAGATTAGAGAAATAAAATCTTTACCCAAATCACTTTACACAAAACTGCAAGATTATTCTGGCATAATTCCAATTATATCAGAAAATATCAATAGCTTTTCAATGCCTAAAGTTCAAAACCCTTGTCCTGGGCTCATTTTATTCTTTTTTTTTCCCCCTAACAGTTAATTAATCCTACAGAAACACAATAGTTTAGGAAAGGATGTGGGGTTTGGGGATGTGGGGATGCTGGGTTAGGGTAATAGCAGAAGTAGGAAGGTAAAAGATATGCTGCCTAGCACCATTTTCATTTTGAAGTGAAAATGACTTTCTAAAAAGTTCAGTGATAGGAAATGAAATAAAAGCTAGAGTAACTTGTCTGATGATTTCCTCTCTTAAAACCAGTCCTAGGATTTGATATTCCAATCCCTTCACTACATACAAAGAATGTAGCTTGTTTCATGTTCGTTAAACAGTGGAAACTAATTAATTTAGAAGGGCTATTTTTCCCCTAAGTTACAAAAACAAAATTTATGCGACGTCACAAAGCCCTATAAAATATAATATCATGTTTCCAGTTTCTACAAAGTATTCTTAACCACCTACTTATGCACAAACACAGGCACACATTTGTAGTTCACCTGAATTGCCAGTATATAGTATAAAGCTAAATGACAATTTGACTTCGATTGAAAAAAAGATGGCACTTCTTATTTACATACTAACTATAAAATCGATTTTTAAAAGACTAGTCAGTGTTTGTTATAAATAGTTACCATGTCAGCAGAGTTTCTAAGTAGCAGTTTGTGTGTACATGGGTATGTCTGGAGACAACCAAAAATAGGCGCTTTAAAATGAGTCCATAGACTGTGTCCTTTGACCTACTATGTCTCCAATAATAAGTACATTATAAATTAAGGAAAATAGAACAAGTAAAAGTAATGAAAAAGTAAAAGGAAGTGCAAAAGGGAAGCTCCAGCAAAAAGCACACTCTATTCCAGGATAGAGCATCCGCTTTGAGTCAGCCTCCTCTCCTACTCTGATGAGCTGTTCTGGATAACTAGAAAAAAGTGCCCTTAAAGCTTCTCCCTTAAGACAGCACTAAGCACAAGCCCTAGGAAGCCCTCAGGGTCTCCTCAGAGACATTCTAGCTGTATGGACTAAAAGACTCCTGCAAAGGCCTGTGGCTCTTACAACAGCAACAGTAATTACTGGAACAGTACCAACAGACATAGGTAAAGAACATAAATTCCTTAAATGTTAGTAAAGCATACAGCCTCCTCCGCACAGCCAGCCAGCGTGGCCTGCAAGTCCCTACAGAGGTGCCCTACTGTCGATGCCACCACCTGATCAGGATGAGGTGGTCTAAGACTCTCTGGTGTGCCCTTTCTGGAGATTCTGGCTTCATGCTGCCTTCCCCCAAGGTCCAGGTAGCTGCTGGTAACAACCCTTGCACATTCTCGCTTATGAGATGGGTGAACGAAAGGTCAGTTTCCTGAGGTCAAATCACAGGCATTCCTTTCTTTGTAAAGCCTGTCTGGTGTCTACTCCTGAACAAGCTAGAGACCAAACTGTATTTCTGTGGAAGGTTCTTACCTCTTCCTATCTCCACTATGTACCCTTGATGCTTCCCTAGAATTCAAGAGAAGCAGTCTAAGGTGGCAGGAAAGAGCTACGGCAGCATTATTGTACAAAAACTAGAAGCCACCTAAACGTCAATAAGGAATTGATTAAATAATATATGGAATATCCATATCATGAAATACTGTTAAAATGACCAGAAAGAAAACAGGCTATTAGTATAAACAGATCTATTTATTTGGATGTTAACCAAACAAGCAAGTTGCAGTGAAATATGTAGAACTCCTATTTATATGGGAAAAACACCCCCCACAAATTCTGTGTGTGTGTGTGTGTATTCAACAACAGTAAAAATCTAGAAGGATACACCAGCCAACAAATGGCAGTTGGGAGCAGTAGGGAGCAGACTGGAGAAAAGGAGTCACCAGTGGGGAATTTTCACTTTTACTCTACATGCTTGAATTCAATTTGGATGTTTTACAAGGGTGTTGTATCATTTTATTAATGGGGTCAAAAAAGGGAAACACTAAACAGAAAGCTTGGGCTTCAAATCCTCATTAAGCTATGTAACTTCAGGAAATCACCCACATGCTTCTGAACCTATTTCCTCATCTGAAAGCAAGAATAAACACCTCCAAAACTGTAGTACTAATTCACTGAAATTAGAAACAAACAAATGGCTCGTTCTCTGTAGTGTTACCTGTCCAGAGACCAGACAGAAATGACTGTTCCCTACACTGTGCTCCAAACCACTCTATTTATTCATGGCAATCGCACAACACCCAGCACATTCTTGTAGTTATTTGCACTGTTTCCTCACATCCACCTCCCCAATGCCATAATTCCTCCAAAGAACCTCTAATTCCAAGTTCCAGTTTAGGGAGTGCTTATCAAAATTAATCTAAATTTCTCTCTTTTGAATGCCTATATTCACTCATTCTTCATTCAACAAATATTTATTGATCATCTACTACAATCTAAGCTCTTTTCATGGTGACTTAGAT